ATCAATGATAATACTGTAGGCTCTCAAAGAACAAAGATCTGAGGAATGATCAAAGTCACGAGTATCCTAAGGAAAAGCAACAGAGAGATAAAAACTAGTTTACTAAACTACCTCAAGAATTTTAACAGACATTATCATATTAGCATGTTTGGTGCAAGCAAATAAATACAAGTCATGTCTACAAATGTATGTAGGAATGAATTTCAGAAAGTTTCACTGAAACATGTCTATGAATATGTTTGATAAATATGAACAGAATAGCTTTGAAATATTAAATGTATTCATGGCTGCAAATATACATAGAAATGAATTTCCAGAAGTATTAATGAAACATACAATATGTAACATGATCCAATGAATGTGAATTAATTTAGATGTCACTAATAAAATCATGCCACCAATGATGTAAGTGAATTGATTTTGTAACAATGTGGAAATATATACGAATGTTCAGGCCCTTAATGCATAACATTTAGGGAAGCAATCCTACTGTAACCTATTCATCTTACTTAGTTTTACTTAATATTCACTAGTGTCTTATTTTATAACATACAATATGCAACATTAATAAGACATATTTCTTTTCAAACCTGCTGGATTGATCAGTAATTTAGGCCAGACTCCATCTCATGTTGATACGAATGTTTTCAATGAGAAAAAAATCTGTATAATATTCGGGACCTCCAAAATAGGACTGTAAAATACTTCAATTAATAAGAATATTATATTATAGAAGCTATACAAACAATAAACATTGTTCATCTTCTGGCTGAATACAAAAAATACAATATATTACACAGTATGAAGGGAGCGATTGCTAGGTATAACCTAGATTCACAGCCATTTCTACTAACAAGAATATTTCATTAAAAACTGTAATAAGCTATAACTGGCTGTAACTTATGCCAATTCTAAAGAATTATAAAGCTCTAAAATAGAATTACAGATAAATTTATGAACATTAAATATTATTTTTAGTTGCTTACCTCTTAAAATTCTCTATATCCTCTAAGCCAGACTGCCAAATAGGAGCCAGATACACTAGACGAAAAATTAAGGACTAAACTTTGTTTTGCTCACATGTAGTTAAACTCATGTTAGAAATTCTATGCAATTTTTTTAAGTGAGTCAAATATAAATTCATGAGTCAGTAATCTACTCTGAGAATAACATTTTGGCTTTCTGAAATTTGTCAGGATACTCATTAACATACCTCACTAAAAGTATATAAAAGCTTTTGGAGAAAACACTTACTGAACACTGGCAAGAATCATGCTAAGAAATGAGACTACAAGATGAACAAGACCCACCACCATTACTCTTAAGTAGTTTATAATCTAGTGGTGAGATAAGCAAGTAAACAGATAGGGTTTCAGTCCTACGGGTAAGTGCCGGGTTAGAGGTAAATGCCAAAGGGTTATGGCAGCACACTGCAGAGGGCCCTGACCTAGTGGGGCTGATTGGGTGAAAGGAGGTAGTCTGAGAGGGCTGCTCAGAGGGATGGAAACCTAAACTGAGTCTTCAAAAATTACAGGTTATACTTATGGGAAAGAGACTCATCTGGGAAGAGGTATTGCAAATGCATAGAGACCTCAGAGAACCTGGGAGATTCTGAAACTGACAGAATCCAGAAAAAAGACTCAAGAAATAAATAAGCATTAAGCTCTGTATGCTTGATGACACACTTGAGCCTTTCTCTTGAAGGCAAGAAAGGGCTTCTGAAGGATAAAAAGGATAGTGATGTGATCAGGGTTGTATTTTAGGAAGACAACTCTAGAAGCAACTTAAAGTAGAACAAGACCGTCAAGAGACAAAATAAAGATCCCAACCAAACTAAAGGAGCCGGAGCAAAAACAGGAGCTTTGAATGACATTAAACATTAAGAGTGGACAAAGCTTTGAGATGGGGGATGAAGGAAAGGAGGATGACTACCTCTTTTCTGTCATAACCTATTCAGTAGCTGATGATACTGTTCACTGAGATGAGTAACATTAGCCTAGAGGTCAAAGGGAGAAAAGCTGAAAGAGGGGAGGAGAGCTGGTGAGTTTATTTTTCATTTGCCGAGTGTGTGGACCTATGAACCTCCAGGAAGGGATGTCTGATCAGTAGCTGGATATGCTAGAAAGAATGAATACTCATTAAAGAGCATCTGAATAGCTCAGGTATTTGTGATAGTGGTTAACATTTATTGAATGTTTACTCTAAATGAGGCATATGCAAGCACTTCATAAAACATCTTTTTAATATCCTTCGACTCCATAGAAGAGGAAGAGTTTAAGTAATTTGTCAACTGTTATAAAGTGTTTAAGTGACAGGGAAGTCTGATTTTATAGCTCATGCCCTTAACTACCATATTATGTTGTATCATGCAAAATTCATTACAAGTTGTGGGGCCAGCGAGAAGTAGGTTTAATTCTAATCTCTGCTATTAACATGTTTGACCTTGAAACTCTCTACATCATAGTTTCAGCTATAAAATGGTGGCCTTAAAAGTTGCATTGCAGGGATACTTGGTAAGAATTGGAGACAGTGTACCTAAGCAACAATCTTGCATGTTCTTCACATGTACCCCAAAATCTAAAATGCAATAAAAAAATAAATAAAAAAAGAAAAAAAAAAGAATTGGAGAGAGTGTATGGAAGATGCTAGATGAAGTGTACATGTGCCATAAATGACTCCTTATGCTATGTCTACACCCAAAGAAACATTTCCCCTTGAAATAAAATAGCAGTGATATAAGTAAATTCTCTTTTATCTATAAACTTTATTTTAATTCCACCTTTCTTGTTCTGCGTCTTAATAAATGCTATCATTTTTCAAAATATTTTGAGAAATTAATATATTCCACAAAATTTAGAGTAATTTAAAGATTTTATTCAAAGATAAATCATTTACATGTAAAGGGGCTGATTTTTTTTTCACATTTCTATAGACGCCACAATATGCATAACCCAAAAGCAAGGAGGCATGTTGATGTTATGGAGAGAGCTTTGGACTTGGAGTCAGAAGACCTGTGTGAAGTCCCAACTCTGCCACTTACCAGCCATGCCAACATGGGCAAGTCATGTAACAGTTCTAAGCATTTCTTTGCATGTTTATGAGATGAATATGTTGTTCTACGTGTTTGAAATTTAAATTCAGCAAACGGGTTCAAGCTGAGAAAGTAGGCAGGTCACCCTAGATTTCTTGTTCTGAAACGTGACTGCTCATTAGCATCACTGGAAACTTTTAAAAACATACTTTAAAAAGAAATAGTGAGCTCCATGACCTTAAAATATCACTAATAGGACACCATATCTGATTTACAAGCTCTGTGCTTCATTTTGACAACGGTGATGTGAAGCATCTTGAGTAGCACCTCACTTTAGTGTTAAACATAAAAATATATTCTCAACTGCACTAAAAACAAAATTCTTTCTTGAGTATACATAGACCCTAGAGTAATTAATGGACTCAACCATCCTGGTTTGCCCAGACTTTGCCTGCTTTAGCACTGAAAGTTCTATGTCCCTAGAAACCCCTCAGGCTCTGGAAACAGAGACAGATTGTAACATATACATACACATACATACATACATACATACACACATGTGCATACACACATATACTTGTATGTGACCCTCAGTGTATTAGAACAAAATTCAGATTAATAGCACTCTAATGGAGTATCACCATAAGATGTTGTCAACATTCACTACTAACTATTCAAGCCCACCACAGTCACACAGACAGACCTGATTCCAGCAGTCATGATAACTAATGTCTATTTTGCTAGAGTTCATGCTGTGAATATTTACAGTCAATGTCCAGTATTTTAAAAATTTTAAAGCCTTTGCCTTCCCGTGGCCATTTCTGTTTACCTTACTAAAGAAGTCAAACAATTCTAGACTACCATTTGACAGATTTCATAGTTTTTTCACTTTGTAATTTTTTGTTACATTTTTCCTGTGATGATGCCATGTGAAATAAATACTAGTATAATATATAATGAAATTAGACTATGGTCATGTCTATCCAAATTAAAGGCAGGGCAATCATTTCTTTTAAATAAAATATCCACTAGAAAGCAAATCAAATTAACTTCAAATGGCACCAGAACATACACCCCTCTCAAAATTAAACTCATCACATACACCTTTTCTAGAACCGCATTATTATATGTAAGTATCTTTTCCTCAGTTGCCTGATGGAGAAACATTTGACTCTAAGATCAAGTCATGATCACACAAGCTAATAAAGAACAGCACCAAAAAAAAAAAAAAAAAAAAAAAAAGAATAGCATCAGTCTGAAGAACACACTCTCAATAAGTACACACCTTGTTACTTGTAACATCTCTAGTTGTCTGTACACAAAACACCTCAAAGGACAACTTCAGTAGTGTGAAAGTGTCAGTGCATGAGGGAAGCCCTCCCATGGCCTCTAGTTCCACACACTAAAGAACTACTGTCGCAGAGACACCACTAACAAGCTAGGCGGAAAGGCTGCATAGAGCTTTTCTCTTTGGGAAATCAGAACCTTAAAAGGATTGCCACCACTCTGGTGTATTCTTGGTCCTGCAATGAATCTAGTAAAATAATAAAAGCCCTTGAGAACTATGGTTTCTTTCCTCCTTAAAATGAGCAACAATGATGCTAATAATATACTTTCTCCTTTTACACTTCTGACATTCCCCAATATCCAGCTTACCTGAAATAAAATGAAGGAAGTGTATAAAATTGTTTAGACTATCTAAAACATGTGTCATGATTTCAATGCCCTAGACTTTCCACCACTGGCTTTCCAAGTAGGAAATCAAGGAAGACATCAAAATGTGACATCATCATTAGCAGAAATAGCATAAATCTCCAAAGGTCTGTTTCATGGTCTTTGAAAGAAAATTCAAAAATCATCTAAAAATATATTTAATGGAAAACTTACTTCTTACAATATATCCCTTTTAAGTATGATTTTCAGTAGTGTTATTGCAACTTTTTTCAGCAAACTGAGAATGAAGACTTACTGATTGCTCATTTAAATCCTGGGGGTCTTCCATGTGGTTTTCTCACCTCTCCTGCCACTCCCAAATAGAAGCAGCTTCCTTCAAGTAAAAATGATTATCTAAAACAAAAAGATGGAAACAAAGGGGAAAAAAGTTATCTTTATATTCATTTGTAAAATTATAAAAACATATTAAGTCATATCATGGTAATTAGTAATTTGTAGGAGCATTCTTCAAGAAGAAAATCGACAATATTGTCTCCATATCTGATGCAATTAATAATCTTGAAAATAGGGTCATAGTAAAAGTAGGATATGTGAACTGCTACTCAGGAATCCTGTAAATAAACCAAAATATCCATAGTCTTCGATAAACACAGTCTGCAATAAACAGTTAATACACTATTTTCCTGGGGGAGGCATGTCATCAAGCAATTGACAGATTAAGAATCAAGTGTCTGAATTAATCATTTACTTTCAAAAGTACATAAAATCATCTGAAAAAAATGAGTGTGCATTTTAATATGACAATGTTCTCTTACAGGAAAATGTGTCTGAATTATCAGGCGATTATTTTTCTGAATAAAAATCATTCTTCACTTTTAAAAAAATATATTATAAAGAAAATAACCAACCTTAAAAAGATAATGTATTAAAGAAGGTATTACAAATAAACATGGGAAAGATAATTAGTCAGTAAATGATGATGAGACAACTGGTTAACTATTCAAAAAGTATCTTTACTCCACACCATACATGAAAATATTTTCAAGTGAATTAAAGTTAAAAAAAAGCTCTAAGGAAAAAAGTTAAACAAAGCTCTAAAATATATATCTATTTTTCTTAGAGCTTTTTTTAACTTTAATAAGGATTAAAGTTAAGCTTTTTTTAACTTAAATAAGGATTTTATAATAGTAACAATGGACGACACACCAAAAACCCGCTAATAACGCTGAATCTTCTCTCTTGTTCCCTCTTTTAAAATACATACATGCGATCCGACTTTCAAGATGGCCGCCTAAGAACAGCTCAGGACTTCAGCTCCCAATGAAAGTGCAGAGGGTGAGTGGACGCCGCATTTCCAGACGAACTCTTATTGCCCACAGACCAGGAGATACCCAGGCAGAGGGGTCGCCAGCGTCGCAGTCCCAGCCGGTGCGGCTGTTTTGGCCCCCGCGGGGCTGATTCCGCCCGCGCGGCTGCTGTGACCACTCCCTGTTGCTGCGGTTCTCCGTACAAAAGCCACTGGTCTGGGAGCCCTCTTAGCTGGCGAGCAGAGCCCTGAGACGGCAGAATAGCCCATTCATCTGAAATAGCGAGTCAGGCCAGGAGATTCCTAGGCAAAAAATCCGCCAGGAGCCGGCGCCGCGGTTCGAGCCGACTCCGTGAGTCGCAGCACGGGAGATCCCGGCGCCTTTTCAACAAGCGATCGGAACGCGGGGTCGTTCAACTTAAAAGAAAAGACTCTGAGTCAGGGAGCCAGGTGATCAGGCTCGGTTGGTCCCACCCCTCCACCCCCAACAACAATGAAAACAAAAACAGTAATTGGAAACCCTCTGGGTTGAGCCCTTCAAACCAAGCACAGCTGAACCGGGACGGTCCGGCTCCGTGGGGGAGGGGCTTCCGCCATTACTGAGACTCTCCACCGCTACGGAGGCAGGCTGCCGTTGCCGAGGCAACCCGCCGTTGCCGAGGCAACCTGCCACAACAGAGAGAGTCCGCCATAACAGAGGCGGGGCCACCATTGCCCAGACAGTTCTAACTACGCCCATATAAAAAGGACTACAGGGAAGAGCTCAGGGCAGCTGGGCGGAGCCCACAGCAGCTCAGCAAAGCCCCTGCGGGCAGGCAGAGGCTAGGCATGCTGCTAGCTGGGCGGGTCCGACCTGAAAAAAAAAAAATCAAAAAAGGCAGTAGTGCAACGGAAACTCATAAAGCTCCAACTCCCTGGGACAGAGACAGACAACAGGTGGATAAACCCACAAAAATGGGTAGAAACCAGCGTAAAAAGGAGGAAAACTCCCGAAACCAGAACACCTCTCCTCCTAAAAGTGATCACAACTCCTCACCAGCAAGGGAACCAGACCGGATGGAGAAGGAGGGTGATGAAATGACAGAGTCAGACTTCAGAAGATGGGTAGTAAGAAACTACAATGAGCTAAAAGAACATGTTCTAACCCATCGCAAAGAAAATAGGAACCTTGAAAAAAGATTGGACGAACTGCTGACGAGAATGGACAGCATAGAGAGGAGAATAAGTGAATTGATGGAGCTGAAAAACGCAACACGAGAACTTCGTGAAGCATGCACAAGCTTCAACAGCCGAATTGACCAAGCAGAAGAAAGGATATCAGAGGTCGAAGACCAACTCAATGAAATAAAAAGAGAAGGCAAGAACAGAGAAAAAAGCGCAAAAACGAATGAACAAAATCTTCAAGAAATGTGGGACTATGTGAAAAGACCTAATCTACGTCTGATAGGTGTACCTGAATGTGATGAAGAGAATGAATCCAAGCTGGAAAATACTCTTCAGGATATTATCCAGGAAAACTTCCCCAACCTAGCAAGGCAGACCAATATTCAAATCCAGGAAATACAGAGAACACCACAGAGATATTCCTCAAGAAGAGCAACCCCAAGGCACATAATCGTCAGATTCACCAGGGTTGAAATGAAAGAGAAAATGCTAAGGGCAGCCAGAGAGAAAGGTCGGGTTACCCACAAAGGGAAGCCCATTAGACTCACAGCAGATCTCTCAGCAGAAACCCTACAAGCCAGAAGAGACTGGGGGCCAATATTCAACATCCTTAAAGAAAAGAACTTTCAACCCAGAATCTCCTATCCAGCCAAACTCAGCTTCATAAGTGAAGGAAAAATAAAATCCTTTGTGAACAAGCAAGCACTCAGAGATTTCATCACCACCAAACCTGCTCTACAAGAACTCCTGAAAGAGGCTCTACACATATAAAGGAACAACCAGTACCAGCCACTCCAAAAACACACCAAATGGTAAAAAAGCAGCAACACAATCAAGAATCTGCATCAACTAACCAACAAAACAGCCAGGTAGCATCAAAATGACAGCATCAAGTTCACACATAACAATACTATCCCTAAATGTCAATGGACTAAATGCCCCAATCAAAAGACACAGACTGGCAAATTGGATAAAAAGACAAAACCCATCAGTGTGCTGTATCCAGGAAACCCATCTTACATGCAAGGATACACAAAGGCTCAAAATAAAGGGATGGAGGAAGATCTACCAAGCAAATGGAGAGCAAAAAAAGGCAGGAGTTGCAATTCTCATCTCTGATAAAATAGACTTTAAAGCAACAAAGATCAAAAGAGACAAAGAAGGACATTACATAATGGTAAAAGGATCACTGCAACAAGAAGAGCTAACGATCCTAAATATATATGCACCCAATACAGGAGCACCCAGATACATAAGGCAAGTTCTTAATAACTTACAAAGAGACTTAGACTCCCACACAATAATAGTGGGAGACTTTAACACCCCATTGTCAATATTAGACAGATCAACCAGACAGAAAATCAACAAGGATATCCAGGACCTGAATACAGACCTGGAACGAGCAAACCTAATAGACATTTACAGAACTCTCCACCCCAAATCCACAGAATATACATTCTTCTCAGCACCACATCACACCTACTCTAAAATTGACCACATAATTGGCAATAAATCACTCCTCAGCAAATGCAAAAGAACAGAAATCATAACAAACAGTCTCTCAGACCACAGTGCAATCGAGTTAGAACTCAGAATGCAGAAACTAACTCAGAACCGCACAGCTTCATGGAAACTGAACAACTTGCTCTTGAATGTTGACTGGATAAACAATGAAATGAAGGCAGAAATAAAGATGTTCTTCGAAACCAATGAGAACGAAGACACAACATACCAGAATCTCTGGGACACATTTAAAGCAGTCTCTAGAGGAAAATATATAGCAATGAGTGCCCACATGAGAAGAAAGGAGAGATCTAAAATTGACACCCTATCATCAAAATTGAAAGAGCTAGAGGAGCAAGATCAAAAAAACTCAAAACCTAGCAGAAGACAGGAAATAACTAAGATCAGAGCAGAACTGAAGGAAATAGAGACACAAAAAACTCTTCAAAAAATCAATAAATCCAGGAGCTGGTTTTTTGAAAAGATCAACAAAATAGACAGACCACTAGCCAGATTAATAAAAAAGAAAAGAGAGAATAACCAAATTGATGCAATAAAAAACGATAAAGGGGATATCACCACAGATTCCACAGAAATCCAAACCATCATCAGAGATTATTACAAACAACTCTATGCACATAAACTAGTAAACCTGGAAGAAATGGATAAATTCCTGGACACCTGCAACCTCCCAAGCCTAAACCTGGAAGAAGCCGAAACCCTGAATAGACCAATAACATGGTCTGAAGTCGAGGCAGCAATAAAGAGCCTACCACCCAAAAAAAGCCCAGGTCCAGATGGGTTCACAGCTGAATTCTACCAGACATACAAGGAGGAGCTGATACCATTCCTTCTGAAACTATTCCAGACAATCCAAAAAGAGGGAATCCTTCCCAAATCATTTTACGAGACAAACATCATCCTGATACCAAAACCCGGCAGAGACTCAACAAGAAAAGAAAATTTCAGGCCAATATCCATGATGAACATAGATGCAAAAATCTTCAATAAAATACTGGCAAACCGATTGCAACAGCATATCAAAAAGCTCATCCACCATGATCAAGTAGGATTCATCCCGGGGATGCAAGGCTGGTTCAACATACGCAAGTCCATAAACGTAATTCACCACATAAACAGAACCAAAGACAAAAACCACATGATTATCTCGATTGATGCAGAGAAGGCTTTTGACAAAATTCTACAACCCTTTATGCTAAAAACCCTCAATAAACTAGGTATTGATGGAACGTATCTCAAAACAATAAAAGCTATTTACGACAAACCAACAGCCAATATCATACTGAATGGGCAAAAACTGGAAGCATTCCCTTTGAAATCTGGCACTAGACAAGGATGCCCTCTCTCACCACTCCTATTCAATATAGTACTGGAAGTTCTAGCCAGAGCAATCAGGCAA